CATTATTACTATTATTAATATTATGAGGCCGGTTCCCATGACATTGGGAACCAATGTCATGGGAGGACCCGAGGGTGCTCCGGTGCCCCATTCGAAAAATTGACAGTTCCTACCCCCCTAACCCCCCCACCCCGCCCCGACCCGAAACACCCCCACCCCTTCAATTGCACCCCCCAAGTTAATTTTGACTTGGAGTCAAATTTTGACTCCAAAGTCAAAATTAACATGGGGTGCAATTGAAGGGGGTGGGGTGTGTGTTCGGGTCGGGGCGGGGTGGGGGGGTTTACCAGGGGGTTAGGGGGGGTAGAAACCGTCAATTTTACAAACGGGGCACCGGAGCACCCCTGGGTCATCCCATGACATTGGTTCCCAATGTCATGGGAACCAAGGGGTAATATTATTATAACTATAGTTTATAAATAATTTCAATTTTTTTATTTTTATTTTTCTCATGTCACTATTTTTTTAATTCACACTCATTATTATTTTTTCTTCTATTTTTCATATAAATAATACGTAGTACATTTTTATTGGGAAAATTGTTCTTTATTAATTTACGTGACACTAAACTATGTTCTAAAAATTATAATATTTTATTAATCTAAATTGACCTGAAAAAAATATCAATATTTTAGATTAAAAAATAATTATTATACTACTCTCTCTATTACTAATTAAATGACATTTATATTATTCACGTGGTCAAATTTTATTCACTTGTTTACCTATTATGAATATAATAGGTAACTAATAAGAATAATAATAATAATAATAATAACTATAACAATTATAAGAAGAATACTATGTAAAATATACATAAATAAATTTTTGAAGTTTTTTCATGTTTTTTCCAATCTCTTCCAGTTTCTTCTTGTGTTTTTCAATTACTTCCAGTTTTTTCCAATAATTCCAATTTTTCCAGTTTCTTCTAACGTCCAACTCTTTTTCTACAGCTCTGAAGAATAAGCTTGTAATCTCCTAATGTTTTGCATTGTTTATAGTGTTGTGCTAATGATAGCAATTACGATGGCTTCAAAGGAAATAAATATTTTGAAACTAAAACTGATAATATTATACTTGCATGCAACAACACCTAGAAAAAGATTTTGGGGCTACAATTGTAAATAAGCGTTCGAAATAAACGTTATTTTAAAGACTACTAATGATTTTACATCTCAAACTGCTACTGATAATTTAGATTGTTTAAATGATAACTTAATGCTTATACGGAGTATTTGTTTTGATTTTATGTATATATGTTACAACATTTCAACATTTCAAGTGGAGGAAAATATCGCTTAAAATAAAGGGTCTCATGGTTATAAAAGGATAGATATTTGTGTAGAGAATATAACCAATATTTGAAATGGCGTATTGCGGATATGAGGCATTTTTTCCTATGGCATATTGCGTAAGCCTCGGGGCGTATCGAGGCGTAAGTTTCATCTTTTAAGTTTAAAAATGTCCATAAAACATTTTTACAAGTGAAGATAGAACATTATATATAACATAAGTAATCCATTAACATTAAAAAAGTATATTGTCAAAGTAAAGATCTCAAACTCAACAATGTCTAACATGAAATAATAGAAATATTGGCCAAGGTAATGAACTTAAATTGACAAATGCAAATAAAGATCATCGGTTCTTAACGGCTTGAAATTAGGACCAAAAGATGTTGTTCATTCAGCGTCTTCCTCGGAATTGATAAACAACACAAAAAATAACAGCAAATAAAAATCCAAATATCAACAAAACTAAAAAAAAGCATGTGGTGCATTAAAAATACATTAAAAAATAGATTTAAAAAAAGTTGGAAACCATTAAAAAACAACACCTGTAACAACACGTGACAGTACATGCATAAAAACATATGCACTACTTTAAATAAATCTGATCCTCTTTAGACATCAAATTAGAAATAAGCAAAAAAAAGCATCTAAAACATTGCATAGCTGTTATGCCATAGCCGAAACTAGAAAAAGGAAAATCGAACCTGATGAAGAGGGACGACGTTGTAGATGAAGAGGCGAGATGAAAAAGATGAAGAGTTACGATTATCGAAGATGCAGTCTAGGGAGATTAGGGTCATAGGCGCAAGGTATAAACGGAGTAACATATACATTTAATTTTTGGTAATTGACTAATTTAACCTTAAGTTTTAAAAAAATTAACAAAAATTGTGTAAGCCTCATATCCGCCCCAGTGCGTACGCCATGGGGCGTACGTAATCTTGCACTATAGCGTATAAAAGCTTATCGTATAAGGCTAAATAGGCAATAAAGCGTATTTTTCAAAATAAAGTTCTGAGGCACGCCTCATGGCGGGTTTCCGCCTCACCATTTCAAACGGGTTTCCGCTTCACCATTTTGAACACTAAATATATCAGACAGATGATTTTTACAATTATGGCGGGTTTCCGCCTCACCATTTCAAACGGGTTTCCGCTTCACCATTTTGAACATTAAATATATCACACAGATGATTTTTACAATTAAATATTGAACTCCTATGCTGTTTATGGGTAAAAATTGAACATATTATTTAGATATTTATTATGTTACTACGCATTAAAGGGAAATAAAAATTCTAAAGTATTTAATCGAATTATAATCAATTTATCAATACGTACAATTGGGGAGTCTTTTTTGTTAGTTTATGGGACCTCTTTTAAACTTTTCTTCAGCCCCTCACCCCCCCCCCCC